ATCCTGCAGGGCTCTCGGGGTCCCTGCTGCTCTCGGGGCCCCCTGAGCCCCTTTTCTCCAGCCCTTTCCAGGCATGCAGCTCTTCCCTGGGCTCGGCGCAGCAGCCGCACGCCCTGGAGGATGCAGGAGCTGCTGCAGCCCAGCCCCGCTGCTGGCCCGGCCCTGCACAGGATGCAGGAGCTCAAACTCCTGAATCATTCTGTGAAGAGACACAAAGAACATTCGGTCATCTCTGCCTCGGGCAGAACAAACTGTGGGATAAAACCTCGCCGCAAAAAGCAGCGGATGTGAGCCGAGGGGGAGACTCTGGCACTCGGAGGTCAGATCCGACTTCACCCGGCTCCAATCCCGGGCTCGACGTTGACTCTTTGGTTGTGGTGGTTTCAAAGACCGAACTTCGGTCTCGCAGACAAATTAATAATTCTTTGCTAAATTTTTTATAGTTTTGGCTCACAATTTAATCATTTATAACAATTTCCAGCTGGACCCCAAGGAAGGAGTGCCAGCCCCACCTGGGGCCGGTGCTGCGGAGCGGGAGGGCGGATGGCACATCCCCAGCATCCTTGGAGCTGGCTGCACATCCCCAGCATCCCCAGCATCCTGAGGGGGGATTGCACATCCCCAGCATCCTGAGGGTGGATGGCACATCCCCAGCATCCTTGGAGCTGGCTGCACGTCCCCAGCATCCCTGGAGCTGGCTGCACATCCCCAGCATCCCCAGCATCCTGAGGGGGGATTGCACATCCCCAGCATCCTGAGGGTGGAAGGCACATCCCCAGCATCCCTGGGGCTGGCTGCACATCCCCAGCATCCCCAGCATCCCGTCCCTCCTCTGAGCAGATCTCACAGGGACGTGCTCGAGGCCCCTCTCCCTTCCCCTGCCCCAAACCAGCACAGAACGCTCTCCCCTGCCATCTCCACAGAGGAATTGCAGGGAAGGACAAAGCAGACACCCCCCGGTGCCTGGGATCTGGTGAAAGTGTGAAACCACGGACGGCATTACAGGGAAAATGCTCCCTCTTTGATCTCTCTAACTTGAATTAAACATATTCTAAATTAATCATTAGCAGAATGTCTTTCAGGAAATTATCTGAACTGCCTTTACAAATCACGACTTAAAAGAGCTCCCATTGCATAACACCGGCTTAAATAGTCCATGTTTGGATCTTTACATGTTCCCACAAAATGAGAGTGCTGTCTGCCTGCAGGATTTGAGGGCAGCCTTTGGGGTGCCCAGGCTGATGGGACACCTCGGGCAGCCTCTGGCACACGCAGGGCTGCCACGTGCCAGGCTGGCACCAGGGCTGGCTTCCAGTGCCAGCACCTGCCAAGGGCTCTCAGCGTCTGGAGGCGCCTCCGAGGGAGCCAGGAGGGACTCTCCATCACGAACTGCATGACAGACAGCAGTGACAGACCAGGGGAAAGACTGCCCACTGCCACAGGGCAGGGACGGGTGCGATGTTGGCAATTAGGAATTGTTCCCTGGTGGTGAGGCCCTGGCACAGGGCGCCCGGAGCAGGGTGCCAAACTTTAAGAAGATTAAAGTAACCTTGCATTCTTTGCTTTCCTAAGCTCCTCAGCCAAAATTAGGGTCATCCAGATAGAAAAATAAACGAAAAAAAAAAAGAGATATTTAAAAATAGCAGCTCATCTGCAAATGAGCAGAGGGCTCAGTTCAGGCAGGAGCCTTCAGTCCCACCCCAGTGACTGAGAACGAGCCCTGTCCCCAAGTCCTGGCTGCAGGGATGGGAGGCACAGCTTTTCCCAGACCATTTACCCCACGCCATGGCAGGGGTAACATCATGGACTATTTAAGCTCCAAGTGCTCCAAGGGAGCCCTGCCTGCCCCACGAGGGGCTGGGGGCTGTTCCAGTCCAGCTCTCAGGCTCAAATGCCACGTTCCCCCCCAGCTGCTCCAGGGATTAAGCCCAGGATTTACAGAAGCAATGGAAGCAGCTGAAAGTGGCTCCTTCCTGCGTTATTTGGGTTGGAAATCTCCTTGTGGGCTGCCCACTCGTCCCTGCTTCCTGAGCTTAGGAGGAGATTATATTTTTAAAGGAAAGCGTCAAAAAAAGTCTATTTCACAAAGTGAAGTTTAGGCTTAAGTCTCTTTGGCAGCAACATCTGAGCTGGGAGAGATCAAAGACCCTCCAGCTCCACTGCCAACATGAAGAGATTTTCACCAGCAATTTGACTGCAATATTGTGGTTTAAATGCTTCATTTTCCAAGTTCAGCACCGTGCTGCAGGAGCCCGGGATTTATCATCCCTCAGACAAAGTCAATGTTGGCTCTGCAGGCAGGGCCGAGTCCTGGCTGACAGCTCTCAGCCCTCATGGTAAGCCAGAGCCTCTGCTAAGCCCTGGAATGAGGAGGAAATGGGCAAAAATGGGCCTGAGGATATTCATTTCCAGGCAGGGAATAGCTGGGCTACTTTATTTAATGTTACACTCCCCAGTCTAATCAGGAGAACTGGGGGTGGAACAAGGGCAGGGGATACAAGGGAGAAAAACTGCTTGGGACAGGAGGGGTTAACAGCTGGATGTGGGAGGAAGGGGCTTGGAACTTGGCAGAAAAGCAGCTAAATAGCAAAGAGATAAACGGACACCTGGCTCAGCTGGATAACAAAGACAAGTCTGTGTCACTCCAAAA